GAGTCCGGGCCGAGGAAGGGCTGTGGGACGCGGGAGCCCGGCGCCCGAGGTCGGGGAGACGGCCTGCGGACCCCGCTACTCGCCGCTGAGAAGGATCCGGGTGGACGAGGGTCTCGGGATGACCGGAGGGTGGATCCTGACATTCGGTGCCCGGGAGACACCTGGGGGTGGGGGGCTGCCGGTCTCCGAGACGAGGGTCGGGGGGCGGGGAGGATTCCGACTTCAGAGCTCGGAGACCGGAAACTGGCTTCTGGATCCGAAGAGACTCGCAGAACGGGAGGTTTTCCCTGCGGGGCCTGGGAGGGCCTTGGGGACGGGGGTCCTGTGGTTTGGATGGGCTTGGTGGCCGCGCTGGCCCCGCGGGATGGGCTGGGGCTTGGGAGTCCTGTTTCCAGGTTTGGGGACGGAATGGCCGGGTGTCTGGGGCTGGGAGAGTTGTGAGGAGGGAGGATCCTGGAGTTCGCAGCCGGATGGGACACTGGGAGTTCCCCTGTGTGGCGCGGGGGGTGGGTTGTCTGTGGCTGGGGAGAGTCAGATGGGCTGAGTTGCCCTGTGTTTGGCTGGTGAGCGTTTGGGGGTGTGGGAGACCAGGAGGTGATCGGGGCTGCAGGGGACCCACATCTCTCTTCCGGGACTGGGAAGGCCACCTTGGAGGCAGGTGCAGCCTGGACCTTGGGTGCTGGGAGATCCGGGGACCTTCTGGTTGACTTCTAGGAGAGGCATGGGGGACCCTGGTGTCCAGAGGCTGGCTGGGGAGGGCGGGGTGCTTCACCAGACAAAGGACCTGGGGTCTAGAGCTGGGAAGACGCCGAGGACGGATAACTCACTCAGAGGGGACTGTTGAGTGGTCCTGGACTAGCCGTGCAATGTTTGGGGAGCAGGGTGGCTGAGGGTGGGGTGGGGGCAGACGAGTCGGTAACGTTTGAAGTTGATGAAATGTGTGGTGGGGGACAGAGGACCTTATGTTCAGCACAAAAGGTGTCTGTAGCTTGGTTTAGTGAGTGTGGGGGAGGGGGAAGCCTGGGATTTGGAAGGAGAAGGAAAATTTGTTGACTTGGCTAGGGGCCTGGGGTGGAGTGGGGGGAGTGTTTCTGGGGCTGAGCGTCTCCAAGAGAGGGCCCCTGGGGCCCCAGAAGCAGTTATTTGTGTGTCCAGAGAGCTGGGGCCCTCAGGGAGAAACAGGGAACCTCTGCATCAACGAGGAGGCGTGACACTAGGAATGAGAAGGATTAGGGTAGACCTGCAATTGTCTGAGGAGAGGAGGACATGGTATGGGAAGATGTCTGGAGTCAGAAAAGCACAGTGTCCTAGCAGGACTAGGAAATGGGGAGACTGGAGAGGTTAAGGAGCAAGTAGAAAAGGACCCTGGTGGCCAGAGTTTGTGCTATTTCTCTGCAAAGGGGGCTTGAGGCAAAGGAAATGAGGGGAGAAATAAGGTCACAGAAGAGAGGAGATTTGGGATTAGCATTGGATTCTTGTTTATGAGAATCTCCTGGAGCGAGGCACCCTGTGTGTAGATTTGGGATAGACAGTGGCCGGGGGATTATCTGGGATCCAGGTGCTGGGAAGAGGACTTCCCATTACAGAGACCTGGGAAGGAAGGAGTGATGCTGTGTGCCTGGCTAGAGCAGGAGGGATTGTGGCAGGAACGCCTAGGAAGAAGGGACAGTGGGATAGTCCTGGCCAGAGAAAGTGAGTCCTGTGCTTGAGAGCATAGACTTTAGACTCAGACAGACTTTGTTTCCAGTTGGATCTGCTGACTTTGGCAAGTCGCTTCACCTCTGTGAGCCTGGTTTCCTTGTGTGTTAAGTGGGATTAATAATAATGTGATCTCCCCACTCTGACTTTGGGGGTGTTAGGAATGAGATTACATGGAGATGGATGTTAGGAGATGGATGTTTTAGAAAGTGGAGAAGGACCCTAGAAGTGTGCCTCCTCTTGGCAGGGCATGGGGGTGTGCACAGGAGAAATGCTTGGGAAGAGGGACTTTATGGGGAGAAGAGCACTGCGTTTGGAGCCTGGAAGAAGCAGAATAGTTTTAAAGGGCCTTATGTTCCTATTAAGGAGATAATTCTATTTTTTCCTCCCTCCTACTTGCCTCAAAATCATTTGCACCTCCTTCATGCTCTCCTTTAGTCTTCCCTTCAGCCATGGTAAACAGGCCTGTAGCCAACCACGTGACCTGTGACTTTCCTCCCTTTGGGCTGCACCTGGTTTGTACCCAGATGTATATGTCATCTGAGAAAGGATTCGTTCAGTTAGTGGATGGCAGAATAGTCTGTTTTGGTTCTGCTTCATGTCTCCTGGCATATCCACCAGCAGAGATCTTGCCCCTTGGTGGAGAGCCTGTGTGCTGCCATCCTAGGTTTCTCATGGTTTGCGAGGTTCTTGTCCTTGAGGGAGTTTCTAGTTTGGTACTCTAGTCCCACCACTGAGCATTCACATGGGTTATCACAACCCCAAGAATGTTCTCCATTCTCATCACTGAGTTATCATCTATGTCCTTTGAGGCTTATCTGTTATTTTCCAGATCTCTTTTTTAGCTCCTGATACTACTTTGTAACCCTTAACACAACCATAAACTTCTGTGTGTAAGTATTTGTTTAACATGTGTCTGTCTCACTAAACTGAAGGCTTTAGTGAGGCAAACTTAGCTTCAGCTATATCCCAGGGCCTGGAATATAGTATATACTCCATGAATAGTTAATATTGTTACTTTTACTACTCTCCTGTTGAGCTCCTAGACCCACAAAATACCTTCCTGAAACCCGTCCAACCCAACTCCTGATATCACTAATGAATCTTAAGGCCACTATTATGATAACCTGTTTTTCTGACAGCTCCTTTCCTTCCTTCCTCATTTTCCCTTTAGCTGACATGGTTATTCCTTACCTCTGCAGCTATTGTGGGGTGGAAGAGATTCTTCAAGAAGGTTGACTGTGCAGGTGGGATTAGTGACTGGGACTGGGCAGAGGATGACTTTGTGCTCTGAACCATTTTTAAGGTTGTGCCCTGAAGGCGACACCCCCTAAGCTTTACACTCTTAAAGAGCAGCTAGGGCCGGGTGCGGTGGCTCAAGCCTATAATCCCACTACTTTGGGAGGCCGAGGCGAAAGGATTGCCTAAGCCTGGAGCTCGAGACCAGACTGGGCAACTTGTCAAGACCTTGTCTCTACAATAAATAAATAAATAATTAGCCGTGGTGGCACGGCGCCTATAGTTCCAGCTACTTGGAAGGCTGAGACAGAAGCCTCAGCCCAGCAGGTTGAGGCTGTGGTGACTGTGAGCATGCCACTGCACTCCAGCCTGGGCGACAGAGTGAGACTCCGACTCAAAAAAAAAACAAAAAACAGTTAGGCCTATAGTTTTTTAACTGTGCTCCATGGAATCTCAAGTGTGTGCAGAGTTACTCCTTGCCCTTAAAAGTGGAGACTTAATCAGGGAGGTCTTGCTGGACCCCCCTCTCTTAACTTTCACATCTTCTTGCTTTAACCAGAGCAGTTCTGCTTCAGTTGGTTTTGTACATTGAGTTTCTGTAGAACCTAGTCATAGGCAGGTATGTGACTTTTTGAGGGGCAAGAAGACACGTCCTCAGGCATCTAGGGCCACTGACCGCCCAGGAAGATTTCCATCTGAAGGTGTTGTCACACTTTAGCCTCTGGCAGACTGACTAAGCCCTGTAGGGATGGTGTCATGTAGCATAAAAGAAGCTACAAGAGCTACCTTTGATTCAGCATTTTCCATGAAGCACCCTTCTAACTGACTGGGTTTTTTGTTTTAAGATGCCATGGACAATATTGCTAGACAGAACCAATTCTATGAGACCCAAGTCATCAAGCAAGAAAACGAGTCAGTCTACGAGAGGAGACCACTGGAAATGGAGCAGCAGCAGCAGGCCTATCGCCCAGGTAGGAAAACACATGTCATTTATTTTTTTGATGGTAACAGAATCTCTGTGGAGCCCTTATCTTCTGCCCAGACCCTGTCTTTCCAGAAAAACTTTGCATCTTTTTTCTTGGGCAATTTATCTGGTCTTTATCACTCTGGCAAGGTTTCGATTTGTTGTGTTTTGTTTGAAGAAAAGAGCTCAGTCCCACTTCCAAGTGTTGAGAGAGGGGAGTCTTCACGGTATCTGTTTCTAGATGTTAGTATCAACATCCTGGAGAGTTTAGACCTGGAGATTAATACTTGAGTATTGTTCAGAATATTAGAATGTGGGAGCCAGAAAGTGCCTTCTAAATCTAGTTTGGTATTTCCCATCTTCTAAAGAAGATTGTTGCAAGAGATAATATTAGGGGTGCCTCAGAAAAAGGTTCCTGGCTGCACGTGGTGGCTCACAGTTGTAATCCCAGTGATTTGGGAGGCCAAGGTGGGAGGATCACTTTGAAGCCAAGAGTGTGAGACCCTGTCTCTACAAAAATAAAATATAAAATTAGGTGAAGTGGGATATGCCTGTTATTAAGGAAGCTGAGGCAGTGGGAAAACCCCTTGAGGCAAGGAGGTCCAGGCTGCAGTGAACTATGGTTGCACTAATGCACTCCATGCTGGGTGACAAAGCAAAACCCTATATCTTTGAAAAGAAGAGGGGTGAGGGCTAGTTCCTTAGCCAAATGTGTTTGGAAAATGTAGCATATGCTGTACCATCTCTTGGAGAGTCATTGTGCTTAGGACTAAGGGCTCTGAGAAGGTCTGGATTTAAAGAGAACCCTGTGTTATGTTGTTTAAACTCAGGAATTCCTAGACATGTAAATATATCTTTCCAGAACAAAGGCCCCCATAATGCCAGTTTGTAAGCACAGATGTAATCCAACTCTATATGCCTCCATTTTTTGGCTTGGAGTTGGCTTATCTTATGGCATAGCTGGGGCTTGAACCTGGGAAACTGGCTCCCAGGCTAGTTTTCTTGATTAAGTAGCAGCATTCCTCACAATTTGTATCTTATTATTTGGAAAGCAGGGTCCCACTGTTAGGAAATGATGAAGCCAAGACTGACTCCCACTTTTGTACTCTTTTCACTGTGTTTGGCCCCAGTGCCTTCTCTTAATGAATCTAGATGATTCTATCTAATTCCATTCTGGTTCATCCACAAAGTGAAATCCCCAGACATTTATTGTGGGTAGTTGAGGGCTTTAATGAATGTAGGTTAAATTGCAGATTTGTGTCAGGCTCCGTGAGACTTGTAGGATCATTTGGCCCAAGGAGAGTATTTTCTATGTCGTTATCCACAAATATTTGTCAGTAGTCATCTGTGCACCCAGGCTTGTGCTGGGGAACCATGGAGGCTTTCTTCAAGTTAGACTGAGCACTTTCTCCACTGTATAGAATCAGGAGTCTTTTCTGAGAGACTTGGTCCACATGTCAAAGCTAGGGAGTGATCCAAGGTGGTCTTGGATTAAATGTTGACATGAGTAGATACAAGTGAGCCATAGCATCAGAGATTAGTGCTGTGGGAGAAGTAAAGCAAGACCTGAATTCATGATTTGCTTTTGGTTAGGCCCTGTTTCTTTGAGTCTGCCTGAGGCTGGAACTTTACCATGATCTATAGCACATTCTCCCATCCTGATTTCCTGTTTGTGGCATGACTTAATGAAGTTATCATGCCTATGAATGGCTTAATTGAGTGACTCTGGGCTTTGTTGGTAGGGTGACTAGGGCCAGTAGAGTTAGCTGCAGGACCACAGTACGCTGTTGAATTTACCCTTTCCCTGTCCCTTGCCACACTAAAGAAGCTTTGTAAAAACTGAGGTGGAGCAGTTCTTTGGGAGGAGAAACTGGGAGACTGTGGGGTCATGGCATCTTATATCTTAGCTTTGTTCTCCAGTACAGTCTTCTTGGCTGGCTCAGCAGGCGTCTGCTGAACCCAGAAAACTGCCTGGGCCCAGCCTTTCATCACTGCATTCAAGATCTGTTGACATCTCCTTAGGTAAAAGGAATCAATAGGTGATAGCTGGGCAGTTTCCAAGTGTCTTGACCATCTGAATTTGTCCTGACAGTAGAAGTGAAAACAGAGATGAAGCCAGAAGCACCCACTAGCTTCCTCCCGCCTGAAGCTTCTCAGCTCAAGCCAGACAGACAGCAATTCCAGAGTCGCAAGAGGCCTTATGAAGAAAACCGAGGACGGGGGTATTTTGAGCACCGAGAGGATAGGAGGTGGGTGTATGAGGCAACAGTCACCTTGTTCCAGTAGGTCTCTGTGTCCATGGCCCCATGCCCATTGGTGATGCTCGTTCTAACCAAGAGGGACTGCAGACTTCTTCTTGCCCTTACATTTTCCTCCTGTTCCTTCCTGCCTCACTACCATATTTAACTACCCTAAACTTTTGGTCCTTTCTCCAGTTCCTTCCTTGTTATTACCTGCTGGGTAAATTCTGGACACCCTAGACTTCATGTCTGAGATGCCAGCCTGCCTCTTCAATCCTTTGCCAGGCTCTGTTAGCCCTGGGTGAGCGGGGCCAGAATAACACTCCATCAGAGGGAAGCCTGCAGCTAGGGGATGCCTGCAGCCAGATAAGCAAGACTAGCTGATCTGTGTACATCGTGGACTAGGGCCATCCAGACTGTCCAGGCAGGACCCGGGCGTTAGACTTCACCTTTCTACTCCTCTGCCTTATCCCTATATAGCAGAAACCAGCAGTATTTTAACAAAGTCCCTTTTTTAGTGTTTTGGTAGGAAGATGAATATGGTTCATAATTTAGGACACTTTTTTAAAAGAGAGGAAGAAGCTGAAAAAATGGGTCATTTCAATTCCTTTCAGATACAGGGTTTTAAGACAACTGGTATATGGATAGATTGTAATTACTTGGATTTATCTAGACTTTTGCACGTTCCTCTTCCTGGCCAGCACCCTTTGGGATACCACAGCCTTCAGTCAGTAACAGAGTTCACTCTGGAGGCAGCTCTCAACATGCAGAGGGCATGAATCACAATCCTGGGGTGTGAGAAGGAGTGTTTGAATAAGCTCCCTAAATGATTCTGGTACCCCCTCTTTAGTGGAGCATGCTCTCTCCAATCCCTGTCTTCACTCTAGGATTTAATGGTCACTGCTCTTATTCCAAGTATTTAGGGGTCCAGAGTTCTTTTGCAAACCTCTGTGGGAAGAAACTGAGATCCAGGCTGTAGTTTACAAACCCCTTGTCATTTTAGCTGAGCATTTTTCTTCCTTTGTGCTTATCCAGCTATTCTTGTGTGATCTAACCCCTCTTTCCAACACAGGGGCCGCTCTCCTCAGCCTCCTGCTGAAGAAGATGAAGACGACTTCGATGACACCCTTGTTGCCATTGATACATGTGAGTCCTTGGAGTGCCCATCTGATTCTACCTTCCAGTCATTGTTAAGAAGTTGTGCACTGACTTGCACCAGAATCCCTGCCGTTATTAGTCCAGGTATGAGACACAGCATACCTCTGGAGCAAGAGCGCTGGTTTGAAGACAGAAGACTTCCTTCCAGCTCTAGCTGTGAGACCCTGAGCAAGTCATTCTACTTCTCTGAACTTCTTTTCAGGGAAGAGTAATCCTACCCTAATTCCTCAGAGGGCTTTCATTGAGACTTCTCAGAGAATGAATACAACAGCAATTTGGAAAACCCTGAACTGCCCTTTATACCCAGGGGGTTGTCATCTAATCAGGAAGGGAATCTGAGTGCTGCTGGGGAAACTTAACTCTTTGACAGCCAGTTCCACAGTTTCCATCAGCTGCTCACATTCCTGGTGAAACCAATGCCACTTTGTCCTCTGAACACCACCTAGCCTGCCTTGTTCTCTGTCCTCCAGTTCAGTTTTCTTTCCCCTGGATAAGTGGCTTTTAACTTGACTGTGCGTCGAAGCCCTGGAGGAAGGATTATAGAGGTCCTGTCCCTCCTCAGACCTCCTAAATCAGAATCAAGTGGTAGAGCTTATGAATCTGAATTTTTTACAGGCATCTAGAAGCCCAGTCAGACCTGGGAACACTGCACTTCTCAACAGAGCAGAAAGACAGCAGGAACTTATTCATGTATTTCTTTGTGTAGCTGAAGTTTATAGGGCACTGACTATATGCTTTGGTAAGAGATAAAGATCTTATACACAGTCTCTTCTATCACAAACCCTCAAAGACAAAATCTACCCAGAGTAATGCTAAACATTTAAGAAATTATTGAGTGGCAATGGTCCATGAGGCAGCATTTGATCAAATGTTTAGACCATGGTGTTCAGCCTTTAGAGAAAGAGCACCTCATGGGCAGGATGGTCAGGAAATGCTTTCTTGGTGGCAGGACTTTCTCCTTGGACAGTGACAAAAAGTCAGAGCAACAGCAGGGGAGTCTTAGGTTCCTGAGAAGAGTTGGGAGCCGGTGGTTCATCTCAGCACTGGTGCCTGGATGGCAGCTGTAGATCAGGGTCAGATGTTTGTACAGCTGTTGGCAACACAAGCTAGAATTAGCACAAGGAAGTGGATGGAGTATATGATGGTGGTGATTAGCTTTTTTGTATTCTAAAATCTAATTTGTGGCTGCATGCAGTGCCTCATGCCTTTAATCCCAGCACTCTGGGAGGCCGAGATGGGAGGATCATTTGAGCCCAGGAGTTCAAGACGAGCCTGGACAACTAATGAGATCTCACCTTTACAAAAAATACAAACGTTAGCTGGGTGTGGTGGTGCATGCCTGTGGTCCTAGCTTCTTGGGAGGCTGAGGCAAGAGGATCACCTGAGCCTAGGAGGTAGAGGCTGCAGTGAGCCATGATTGTGCCACTGCACTGCAGCCTGGGTGACAGAGTGAGACCCTGACTCCAAAAAAAATCGAATTTGAAACTGGTGAGGATTTGGATCCTCTCCCTAGCAAGTACATATCTCTATCAGAGGCATTTTTGTACAATTTTTGAGGATTCCCCTAAAGTCTGTCCTTTGATCCAGTCAGGTGAAGAATGCCAGATCCTCTGTAGAGTGATATAGGCCAGTTTGCAGTAGTCCACACCCCTTCTGCGCAAAGGGAGAGAGATTAGAGGGTGCACTGGCATGTCTTGCACGTGCCTCTACAATATGTTGTTTTGTGTACTCCTGGTCAGCATTCTAGGGGAACTTCCCTCTGCCTGTTCCTTTCTTGGGCCCTTTATTTTTTATTTATTTTATTTTTGTTTTGAGTTGGAGTGTCACTCTGTCACCCAGACTGGAGTACAGTGGCCGGGAGCAGCCACTCAACCTGCTGGGCTCCGGCGATCCTTCCGCCTCGACCTTCCAAGTAGCTGGAACTACAGGCGTGTGCTACCATGCCCGGCTAATTTTTGATTTATTGTAGAGATGAGGTCTTGCCAAGTTGCCCAAGCGGGTCTTGAACCCGCAGGCTCAGGCAATCCACTCACTTCAGCCTCCCGAAGTACTGGGATTACAGGCTGAGCCACCAAGCCCGGCTTCTTGGGACCTTTAAAACATTAGCCAACTTGCGGCTTTTTTCTTCACAGATAACTGCGACCTCCACTTCAAGGTGGCCCGAGATCGTAGTAGTGGCTATCCACTCACAATTGAGGGCTTTGCATACCTGTGGTCAGGAGCCCGAGCCAGCTATGGGGTCAGAAGGGGCCGTGTATGCTTCGAGATGAAGGTGAGTAGAAACAGCAGAAGGGATAGTGACAAAAAGCAAGTCTGTCTATTGGAATAGCCTGTCACCAGCCACCTTTGTCCAAGCTGCAACTGCGAAAGAGATTGGATTGAATATATACTATATCCAAGGAAACATAAACATAATGGATTCAGGAAATTATATTATTGCTAAATACCATATCAGAAAAGCAGGCCAACCATACGTTGCTTCATCAAGTGGGTTTTTCCTTGTGATTTGGTCCAGGTATTATATAGTTAACTAGTCAAGTGATCTTTTTTTTTTTTTGCTAGAACTGGGAAAAGTTGTTTTTTGGAGGAAAAGTGATCTAAAAAGAGTAGTCTCAGGTGTCACTAAAGAGAGGCCAGTGGGGAGAGCAGGGAAAAAACTGCCAGTTTAGGCCATCGTCTGCTTCATCTCTTCAAAGTTCCATGTCAAGTTATGCTTATGAATCTAATACATGCTCATGTTTAATAAAAGTGTAGACAGCACAGAAGATTATAGGATTAAAAAGCAGAAGTTGGTCGGGCTCGGTGGCTCAGCCTATAATCCCAGCATTTTGGGAGACCTGAGCCTGTGGGTTTGAGACCAGCCCGGGCACCTTGGTGAGATCTCATCTCTACAATAAATAAATTAAAAAGTTAGCCGGGCGTGGTAGCGCACGCCTCTAGTTCCGGCTACTTGGAAGACTGAGACGGAAAGATCGCCGTGGCACTCTAGCCTGGGAGACAGAGTGAGACTTCAACTCAAAAAAAAAAACAGAAGTTATTCTCCTATCCTCTCAGCCTCCATCCTGCTCCCTAGAGGTAACTTCTGTGGTAACAATTTCTCATGTATCCTTTGTTATCCATTGTGATAGCTAATATTTGTAAAGTACTTTGCATGCACAAGATAGAGTTCCAAGCTCTTTACATGGATTATCTCCATTAATCCTCACAGTGCTGTCATGAAGCAAGTACTTTTATCCCCCATGGTTGGGGTGTAAACTGAAGCTGAGGGTTGTGTTTTATTGACTAAGACCATTGATATAAGTTGCAGATTATTTTATGCACCACTCATGACCCAGAGAAACACTGCCAACGAAACTACACAGTGCTTTCTTATCAAATCAGTTGTAAGGTAGGTCATGATTTCAGAGATGTTAAGTTGTAGAAAATATGCATCTTAAGTCAGTGAAATATGGTAACTGTTTGATCTCTAACTTAATTAGAGGTTAAATCAGGAGGCACTTTTTCCCCTCTGATTCTTTTACTTAATACTTCATGTTGGACATTTTTCCAACCAGTACATTAGCCCTACCTTATTTATTTATTTATTTTTGAGTCAGTGTCTCACTGTTGCGTAGGCTGTAGTGCATGCTCATGGCCACTGCAGCCTCGACCTGCTAGGCTCAGGCGATCTTTCTGCCTCAGCCTTCCAAATGACTAGAACTACAGGCACGCGCTACCATGCCCCGCTTATTTTTTTATTTATTGTAGAGATGAGGTCTCACCAAGTTGCCCAGGCTGGTCTCAAACCCCTGAGCTCAGGCCCTTCTCTTACCTCAGCCTCCCAAAATGCTGGCATTACAGGCTTGAGCCACTGTGCCTGGCCCTCATTCTTTTTAATTACCACGTGGCATTTTATGACATGGATATATCATAACCAATGGCTTATTGATTTTTTTCTTGATTTTTAAAAATTATATATATAAACAATGCTGTACTGTATATTGCATACACAAACATACATTCATATGTATACCTACATGTACATGTATTTGTATATCTGTAGGATAAGCTCGAAGTAGAATTGCTGTGTTATAGAGCATGTGAATTTACAGTTTTGATAGAAACTATTTGATTGCTCCCAAAGACAGAACCATTTTATCCTTCTACAAGATGTTATAAAGGTCCCTTAAACTAAAAATTAACTTATAGGCCAGGGGCGCGGTGGCTCACACCTATAATCCCAGCACTTGGGGAGGCTGAGGTGAGAGGATTACCTGAGCCCACAGGGTAGACCAGCCTGGGTTAATTGGTGAGACCTCATCTCTACAATAAATCAAATTATCTGGGCGTGGTGGTATGTGCCTGTAGTTCTGGCTACTTAGAAGGCTGAAGCAGAAGGATCACCTAAGCCCAGCAAGTCAAGGCTGCAGTGACCACGAACGTGCCACTGCACTCCAGCCTAGGCGACAGAGTGAGACTCCAACCCAATAAATAAATAAATACATAAAAATTATCTTATTTTGAAATGCCTGTCTGTAGCCCTGTACTCTCCCGATCCCTTTAAAGGCCCTAGTTTCAGTGCAACTGGTTCTTCAGCACTGCTTAAACACCTCTTTCCCAGCAACAAAATCTATTGCTATTTTTTAGTGCCTGATATGCTTCCCTCCTGTATTGCCTCATAACCTACCAGCTTCTAGAGAATCAATCTTGAGCCCTTTTGTCCTCTGTCCCCAGATCAATGAGGAAATCTCCGTGAAGCACCTTCCATCTACAGAACCTGACCCCCATGTTGTCCGTATCGGCTGGTCCCTGGACTCCTGCAGCACCCAGCTAGGTAAGGGGAGGTCAGCTAAGCAGTCCAGAGAGTAGAGTGATTGCCCCTACCTCTGGATTCTCAAGGCTCCTAAGCTTCCCTTCCCGGCATCAGACTTTGAACAGAACTAACCTGGATTAGAACAGGCACAAGGACTAGGGGTGTGACACTGCCTGACTTGAGGCATACCAGATTCAAGTAAGAGGACCGTGCTTGTATAACAACTTCTTTGTGAAGAATTAGTTTTCATTCTTCATCTTTTAGGAGAAGTGTCAGTATTCTCTTTAGAAAGTTATTCCCGCTGGGCTTGGTGACTCATGCCTATAATCCCAGCACTTTGGGAGGCCAAGGCAAGAGGATTGATTGCCTGAGCCTAAGGGTTTTGAGACTAGCCTGGACAACTTGGCGAGCCCCTACAATAAATAAGACAATTAGCTGGATGTAGTGACATTTGCCTTTGGTACCAGCTACTTGGAAGGCTCACATGAGCCCAGGAGCTTGAGGCTGTGGTGACCATAATCATGCCACTGCACTCTAGCCCGGAGACAGAGCGAGTCTGGCTCAAAAAAAGGGGAAACTGTTCCCTTTCTTAAAGATCAGTGTCTCTTGCCCTCAAAGTGCTGAAAATAAGTTTTCAAGCTTGAAGTTGTGTCTGAATTTTCTCTCTGGAGCTCAACCTAGTGTAAAAGATGAAGCACACATCATTGGAGTCCAGGCCAGTTGGTAGGGAGAGGCAATGGCTGCCCATTGATAAGTTTTGAATTTCACAGATCCCTAGGCCTCAATTTCCTGCGGACCCCAGTGATTGAGGATGACCAGTGCTGAGAACTCTGCCTTCCTTGGTCATATAAACATTATTAATGTAATGCGTGCTCCTTGTCAAATTTCAGGTCATACAGAAAGTGTTGAAAATCATTCCTAAACCCACAAGATAACATAACCAACGCTAGCATTTTTATCTGTAGTCTCTTGGACTTTTTTTTTTTTTTTTTTTTTTACATATTCAAACTGGATCATGCTATGAATACTTTGTGTCGCCTGGTTAAATTTAGCATGTGATGGATGTATTTTTGTAAATAAGTATAATTTTTTTGACCATTGCGTAATTTTCTATTTTATAGTTGTATTATTAGCAAGTGTCCTTTTGTAGCTCACTTAAATTTATTGCAAATTTTTGCTGTCAAACATTTGAGAGCTATTATCCTTGTGTATAATTGCCTAACCATGTGTAAGACTAATCCTTGAAAGTTGATATGTTGTGTTCTCACTCATAAGTGGGTGCTAAAAAACATGTTCACATGGAGGTAGAGTGTGAAATGATAGATAATGGAGACTTGGAACGTTGAGGAAATGGCAGGGAGGAGAAATTGGTTAATGGGTACAATATACGTTATTTGGGTGATAGATACTCTAAAATCCCTGACTTGACCACTACGCAGTCTGTGCATGTAATCAGATTGCATGTATATTCCATACATTTGTACCAAGGAAAAATGTAGATATGTTAGGTCTAAAGGAGTGTACGGTTTTCCTTTCCATACATATTAGCACTTTTTTTTTTCTTTTTTTTTGAGTTGGAGTCTCACTCTGTCGGCCAGACTGGAGTGCAGTGGCCGCTCCCAGCCACCGCAGCCTTGACCTGCGGGGCTCCGGCAATCCTTCCGCCTCAGCCTTCCAAGTAGCTGGAACTACAGGCACGCGCTACCACACCCGGCTAATTTTTGATTTATTGTAGAGATGAGGTCTCGCCAAGTTGCTCAGGCGGATCTCGAACCCGCGGGCTCAGGCAATTCACTCACCTCGGCCTCCCAAAGCGCTGGGATTACAGGCTGAGCCACCGATCCCGGCCAGCACTTTTTAATATAAGACTAATAAGTCATCTCATTTTATCTTTATCTCAGTTTTGAGAGGAAGGTGGTAGGCAGTTGATGTGAATGAGGAAACTGTCCAGGATGGTCAAGCACTATGTCTAGGATCACACAGATGGTTCGTAACCTGTACTGAAACTCAGGCTTGTCAGCTTCTTCTTTTCTAGCAGGATAATCTTTGGGTTCTGCCCAAGAATCTCTGTGTAACCCAGGTGGCAGCCAAAGCTCTTGGGATCTCAGATCACTTCAGCGCCCAGTTCTGTAGCCTAAGGAAATCAATACTTTTCTCAGGGATCAGTCCTCATGGTCTCCAGAAGCAAAACCCATCCCCTTTACTGATTTCTACCAAAAGCACACTGGCACCAAAAATCGATGACATCAGTAGACTCAGCTGAATATTGAGTGTCACAGAGAAAGTTTGCATCTCAGCATACAGCTGTCCTCTTCCATTCCAGCTTTTCGCTTCCTTTCCTCCCTTTCCAAATTCTCCTTTGCACGTCAGTTGGGCTCCTACTTCCTGACTAAACAACTAACCCTATCAGTCCCTCCAAAGTTCTGCATAATAAAAAGATTCCTTTTAACCTTTCCCACCTCTTTAGAAAAAAGGCACCTTATTAATAAAACTAAAAGAAAATGTTTTTTTTTTTTTCCTTAAATATATGTGGCAGCCATTGAGGCCCTTATGACCATCGCAGGTTTAACCTGCCTTTGCTATTTCTTTTATCAGGCGAAGAGCCTTTCTCCTATGGCTATGGAGGCACTGGGAAGAAGTCCACCAATAGCCGATTTGAAAACTACGGAGACAAGTTTGCAGAGAATGATGTGATTGGCTGCTTTGCGGTAAGTGCTAGCAGCCTATGGGAGCTGGCAGACCAGGTGTTGACCTATATACTTTTTGGGGGTGATACCTCTGTTCATTTTCTGTTCCTTCTCTAGCCACTCTGCCGTACTTTTTTGTCTGCTTGACAAGACTGAAACAATGATTGTCATTTTATGTGAAATTCTGCCATTCCACCCAACTCCCAACCCCAGTCTTGTGTGCAAAGCTGTCAGCTGATACACTGAAGAGGCCTGGGGACTTGAGGTGTGCACAGCCTTCCATCACTCTAGATACCAGAGTGACATTTTTCTGAACAAACTCAAGAATTTCATATCTTTCATTGCTAGGAAATAGCCTATCTGTTCTTGAAGGCAGTGGTATTAGCTCTTGCTCCACATTGGCATCATCTTAGCCCAAAATGTCTCCCTTTCTTCACTTCACATTGGTGAGCCAGGCTTTGTACAATCTTTGTACTGTCTTCTGGAAGAGCAGAGATGGATGCAGAACAGAACAAAATAGAGTGTGTCTGAGTGCTGCCATACTTCAGTTCTGGAGAGCAGTGACTGACATACACAGAGCTATAGAGTATGGCTGTCGGCTCTGGAACTAGACTCCCTGGACTCAGTCCTTGTTCTTCCACCCACAGCCCTGTGTAACTTACCCTCTCTGTCTTTCAGTATCCTCTAAGTGAGAATCTTTGTACTACAGAATTTTATGTGGAGTCATTAATCATTAAAAACACAACAAGCCTGGCTCGGTGGCTCAGCCTGTAATCCCGCGCCTTTGGGAGGCTGAGGTGAGTGGATTGCCTGAGCCCACGGGTTCGAGACCCGCCTGGGCAGGCGAGACCTCATCTCTACAATAAATCAAAAAAAAATTAGCCAGGCGTGGTAGCACGCGCCTGTAATTCCGGCTATCGGAAGGCTGAGGCGGAAGGATCGCCGGAGCCCAGCAGGTCGAGCCCGGCCACCGCACTCCAGTCTGGCAACAGAGTGAGACTCCAACTCAAAAAAACCCCCAAAAAAACACAACAGTGTTTGATACATAGTAAGTGCTTACTAAATGTCACTTAGTACTGATATCATTAGGAATTATATGACATGTTTGTAAAATAATGCTGTGAAAGTTCAGAGGAAGTGACTATACAGATGGATGCTTCCTCTGGGACTTTTTTCTCCTACATATTTGTATTATACATGCATTCTTCTTCTTCTTCTTTTTTTACTTTGAAGTAAATCCAAACTTAGAGAAAACTTAAGAAAAAAGAATTCTTAGCCGGGCACAGTAACTCACACCTGTAATCTCAGTACTTTGGGATACCGAGGTGGGAAGATTTTTTGAGCCCAGAAGTTCAAGACTAGCCTGGGTAACATAGCGAGACTTTGTCTCTACAAAAACTTTTTAAAAAATTGGCCGGGCATGGTTATGCACACCTGTAGATCCAGCTACTTAGGAGGCTGAGGCAGAAGCAGAAGGATCACCTGAGCCCAGGAAGTTGAGGCTGTGGTGAGCAGTGATCATGACATTGCACTTCAGCCTGGGTGATGGAGTGAGAATTTGACCCCAAAACTAAAAATAAAAGAAAGAATTGTCATAGGGGCTTATTTAGATTCCAACATTTGCCACATTAGCTTTACCATTTTTATACATGTATGTGCATGCATATATATAATCCTTGAACAACACAGGTTTGAACCGCACTGGTCCACTGATAATGCAGATTTTTTTTTTTTCAATAAATATATTGGAAAATACTTTGGAAAGTTTCAACAATTTGAGAAAACTTGGCCAGTTGTGGTGGATCACACCTGTAATCCCAAGCACTTTGGGAGACTAAGGATTGTTTGAGACCAGCCTGGGCAACATAGTGAGACCTCGTCTCTATAAAAATAAAAGTAATCAGACGCAGTGGCTCACGCCTGTAATCCCAGCACTTTGGGAGGTGAAGGCAAGAAGATTGCCTGAGCCCACTGGTTAGAGACCAGCCTGGGCAGCATGGCGAGACCTTACCTCTATAATAAATCAAAAAATTAGCCAGGGGTGGTGGTACATGCCTCTAGTTCCAGCTACTTGGAAGCCTGAGTGGAAGAATTGCCTGAACCCAGCAGGTCGAGGCTGCAGTGACTGTGAGTGTGCCACTGCACTCTAGCCTGGGTGACAGAGTGAGACTCTGACCCAAAAAATAAATAGATAAAAATAAAAAACTCACAGACAAACCATGTAGCCTAGAAATATTGAAAAAGTTGAGAAAAAGATATGTTGTAAGTATATAAAAGATATGTACATACTAGTCTGTTATCATTTATTGCCTTAAGATATAATCAAACCCCTACTATAGAAAGTTAAAATTTATCAAAACTTATAAACACAAATGCTTGCAGTCTTTACGTGCACCGTTCTTAGTCTAGAGAAATGTAAAGGTGCAGTATTAAATCATAACTGCAAACTGGGCTTGGTGGCTCAGCCTGTAATCCTGCGCCTCTGGGAGACAGGTGAGTGGATTGCCAGAGCCCGCGGGTTCGAAACCCGCCTGGGCAGCAAGACCTCATCTCTACAATAAATCAAAAAATCAGCCGGGCGTGGTAGCGAATGCCTGTAATTCCAGCTACTTGAAAGGCTGAGGTGGAAGGATCGCCGGAGCCCAGCAGGTCGAGGCTGCGGGGGCCGGGAGTGGACACTGCACTCCAGTCTGGGCGACAGAGTGAGACTCCAACTCAAAAAATAAATAAATAAATAAATCATAACTGCATAAAGTTAACTGTAGTACATACTATAATAATTTCTTAGCCACCTCCTGTTGCTATTGTGATGAGTTCAGTTGTTGCAAGTATCTGCTTAAAACACTTATGTCACACATCCTTGTGTGTGAGTAGTTCATTTCTCCAGTAGATTGTGTATCTCAGGAAAAAATGAACTCTGAAGGTTCTTGTTTTTTTTGTATGTGTTTAGTGCAGTACCATAAACCTTGAATACAGCATGAGACTCATACAAAGTTCCACTAGTGATGCTGCAAGTGCTCCTAAGAAGCAGAAAGCAGTCACAATGTTACAAGAAAAAATTTAATTTTGGGATATATTCTGTAGCATGAGGTCTACAGCTGTGGTTGTCTGTCACTTCAAGATGAATCCAACATAAGGACCATTGTTAAAAAAAAAAAAAGGAAATTCCTGAAGTCATCACTGCAGCTTTGCGAGCAGGCATTAAAAACTTTGTACCTTTTGTGAAATACCTTTTATCTCATATTAATAATGCAGCTTTTATGTGGGGTCAGGATTGCTGTAAGAAAGACATACCTGTAGACTCTGTTATGATTCAAGAAAAAGTTTAAGTCATTATATGACAACTTAAAGCAAAAGGAAGGTGAAGGATCTAAAACTGGAGAACTTAATGCCAGCAAAAGATGATTTGCTGATTTTAGAAAGAGACTTGGTTTGAAAAATGTCAAGATAACAGGTAAAGCAGCTTCTACCAACCAAGAAGCAACAGATGAGTTCCATATGCCATTAAGATCTTTGAGGAGAAGAGGGCTACAAATTTTTGATGCAGACAAAAGTGCATTCCCTCCCCTAACCTCCTATTTTGGGTGGGAAAATGCCACAGAGGACATTTATTAGTAAGGCAGAGAAGCAAGCACCAGGATTTAAGGCAGGAAAGGGTAGATTAACTCTACAGTTTTGTGCAGGTGCTTTGGATTTATGAACAGGCCCTTATCTTTAAAGTTGTTAACTCTCAAGCCTTGAAAGGAAAAGATAAACATTGGCTGCCAATCTTCTAGTTGTATAACAAGAAGGCAAGAACTCTTTTTCTTTTTTCTTTTTTTCCTTTTTTTTTTGAGTTGGAGTCTCACTCTGTCACCCAGACTGTAGTGCAGTGGCCGCTTCTGGCCACCGCAGCTTCAACCTGCTGGGCTCCGGCGTTCCTTCCGCCTCAGCCTTCCAAGTAGCTGGAACTACAGGCGCGCGCTACAACGCCCGGCTCATTTTTTATTTATTGTAGAGATGAGGTCTTGCCAAGTTGCCCAGGTGGGTCTTGAACCCGTGGACTCAGGCAATCCACTCACCTCAGCCTCCCAAAGGCGCGGGATTACAGGCTGAGCCACCAAGCCCGGCTAGAACTCTTTTTCCATACTGGTTCTATCGATGCCTTATTCCTAAAGTTAGGAAGCACCTTGCCAGTAAGGGACTGCTTTTTAAGATTTTCTGATATTGGACAATGTCCCTGGCTCTACAGAACCCCATGAGTTCCACACCAAAGGCATCAAAGTGGTCTACTTGTCCCCCAACAACAGGTTGACCCATGAACTACATGTGGGGTTAGGGGCACCAAGCCCCATGCAGTCAAACAATGTGTAACTTTTGACTCACCAGAAACTTAACTACTTTTTTTGTTTGTTTTTTGAGTTGGTATCTCACTCTGTCACCCAGACTGGAGTGCAGTGGCACGCTCCTGGCCCCTGCAGCCTCGACCTTCTGGGCTCCAGTGATCCTTCCTCCTCAGCCTTCCAAGTAGCTGGAACTACAGGCGTGCACTACCACGCCCGAATAATTTTTTGGGGGGATTTATTGTGGACACGAGGTCTTGCCAAGTTGCCCGGGTGGATCTCAAACCCACGGGCTCAGGCAGTTCACTTGCCTCAGCCTCCCAAAGTGCTGGGATTACAGATTGAGCCACCAAGCCCAGCCAGAAACTTAACTACTAATAACATAGTTAACACATAAATAGACAAGTATATACATTTTCTTTGCATTCATGACATACCTTTTTCTTATTTTTTTTCAGTATTTCTAGGCTGTACAATTTGCAAGTTTTTTCAAATTTTTGTAGATTTCCAAAAAAGTTAAATATGTTTATTGAAGAAAAGTTGCATAAAAGTGAACCTTCACAGTTCAAACCCATGTTGTTCAAGGGTCAGCTGTATATGATTTATCTAACCCATTTAAGAGGAGGTTGTATACATCGTGTCTGTATTCCTTTGTATTTCAGCGTACTTTTTGTTTTTATAAATGAGTCACTCACTGTCTTGCTCAGGAGTTCAGTGGCTGTCCACTACTGATCAGCACAGGAGTTCTGACCTCTGTTTCTGTCCTGAGCTGGTTCACCCCTCAGGCAACCTGGTGGTCCCTGCTTCTAGAAGGTTACCATATTGATACCAGACTTTTAGCACACTACAACCCATGACGTCTGGACTCAAACAATTCTCCCACCTTAGGCTTCCTAGTAGGTGGGACTACAAGTGCATGCCACTGCACTTGGTTCAGTATTTTTTTTTTTTTGAGTTGGAGTTTCACTCCTCAGCCCAGGCTGGAGTACAGTGGCACGCACGCTCACGGCCACTCCAGTGTTGACCTGCTGGGCTGTAGTCATCTTTCTGCCTCAGCCCTCCGAGTAGCCGGAACTACAGATGTGCGCTACCACCTGGCTATTTTTTATTTTATTGTAGAGACAAGGTCTCGTCAAGTTCCCTGGTCTGGTCTCAAGCCTGCAGGCTCAGGCAATCCACTCGCCTTGGCCTCTCAAAGTGCTAGAATTACAGCTTGAGCCACCGTGCACAGCCTCAGTATATTTCTTAAGAACAAATCTACTATCTTAATCATAATACAGTTATTAAACTTAAAGATGTTAAGTTTATCTACTCCACAGTCCACATTCAAATTTTGTCAGTTGTCCCAACAATATTCTTTTAAGTACAATTTAGTTTCTGGTTTGGTATCCAATCCAGGGTCTTGTTGTGTTGTAGTAGCTCTTTAGTCTCCTTTAATCTGAAACAGTTTCTCACCCATCCTCTGCATTTCATGACCTCATTCTCTTTCTCATAAGACATAGTTTTTCTTTAAACAAAAATTAATCATGTTTATACTCTACAAACTATTCTAAATCTTGCTTTTGTTTTCCCATTTAACAGTAAATCTTGGCTGTCTTTCCCAGATCTAGCTCAACTAAAAAAAATTTTTTTGGAATAATCATTTCACATGGTTTCCAAAAAAAAAAATTGAAGAATATTTAAAAGTACACGGTGTAAAGTCTTCTTCAAACCTCCCTCCACCCATTTTTCACTTACACCCTCCCCCACATGTGAACCCACTGATACTCAGGGTTTATCAAGAAAGATGATTGTTACTTTTCTTTTATGCAAAAGGCAGCGTATTATACATGCTATTCTGCATCTTTTTTTGTGTAACGGTTTATCTTAGAGATCTTTTCATAGCACTACCAAGAGAACATCTTTGTTCTTTTATATTGTCTGTAGTCCTTGTTTGACTTTACTGTAATTGACTTAGTCCCCTCCTTCGTGGACATTTAGTTTTGTGCCTTTATATTGAGTGACTGTCTAGTATTCTGGTGCAAACATCAGGATGCCCTAGTAATTTAGCCAGTCTTACCATTGGTGGCTCTGAAAGTCTTTTGCTGGAACAGATAATTCTGCAGTGAAGGCTTATCTTTTTTCCATTTACCAGAATAACTTGGAGATCTTTTTGTCTTCCCATCCATGGAGCTCCTGATTTAGCCACTCCCACCACCCCATTGGAACATATTTTGCACTGCTGGCATGAGCATTTTGCACATACTTTTTTACATTCTTGTAGAATATAGTTGTAATATTTCCTCTTGAAAGTCAGCTTTTGGCTGGGCTCGGTGGCTCAGCCTGTAATCCTGCGCTTTGGGAGGCCAAGGTGAGTAAATTACTTGAGTCCGCGGGTTCGATACCCGCCTGGGTAACTTGATGAGACCTCATCTCTACAATAAACAAAAAATTAGCCGGGCGTGGTAGCGCGTGCCTGTAGTTCCAGCTACTTGGAAGGCTGAGGCGGAAGGATTGCCGGAGCCCAGCAGGTCGAGACTGCAGTGGCCGGGAGCGGCTACTGCACTTCAGTCTGGGCGACAGAGTGAGACTCCAACTCAAAAAAAAAAAAAAGAAAGTCAGCTTCTGAGTCAAAGATGTATTTCTGAATTTGATAGCTGCCACAAAGACTTCACTCCAAAGAGATTCTAGCATGTGTGATAGTGTTTCCCAAACTCTGTTTAATCAGAGCATTTTGGTGTGTGTAGCAGTATGGAACTTTGGCCTTGACTTTTACTTCGACCTGATAATCTCTACTTCTAGTTTTAAGATTCCATGTATCAATTCCTTTGTTCAAAAGATGCCACAACTTTTGAAAGGCTCAGGGCAGAGGGTGGAGGAGATTTGAAAATCAGTGGGCCCAGGGAACCAGAGGTGAAGCCATTTGTGTCAGACCTTGGGTTCTCAGTTAGCAAAACAGCCTTCTTTTTTTTTTGAGTTGGAGTCTCACTCTGTCGCCCAGACTGGAGTGCAGTGGCCGCTCCCGGCCACCGTA